TTGATATAATTCAGTGGATGAAATTCAGCATGTATGACAATCCCACTATTATTTTAACTCTTCCCTCCATTTCATTATGCTAGAGTTTGGGATGGACAAGACACCAACCTTTTAAGCTCCCTGAAATTCGGCGTATGACGACTCCACCATTATTTTTATCGTTTTCCTTCTGCCTTCCCATTAAATTAGATCTCAGGTGTGTCTTTTAGGAGCCCTGTAGCAAGGTTATGATTGAAAGGTTAAGACAATGTTGGCCTTCCCCATCATCCTGGTGTTCACTTCAAGGGTAGGAAGAGACTCATGCTGGACCTGTGTTGCTAAGTGTTCCTTATCCAATTTGTACTCAATTCCAAGCCACGGTTTCTGGGGGGTGGGGAAGCGTAACCATCAATCAATGACAATTAAATTAACGGCAAAAAACCATCCTGTTTTAGCAATGGCACCTTCGTCCTTGGCAGACTGAAGCTCCCCCAGAAAATAATGCCTGGTATCAGTAAAGGGTAAATGTGCAATTAATCCTGTAATTGCTGTCACTATGACCAAACATTTATTCTGCAAATAAGGAGATAATTAAGACATGACATGGAGTGCCAGGGAGCTCAAGATTTCAGTCTTGGAGACTTTCTCTTTTTAGAGAATAAATATTTGCTGAATCCGGGGCTCCATTTGCCAACACACAATCATGATCTGTCTGTCTGTCTATCTATCTATCTATCTATCTATCTATCTATCTATCTATCTATCTATCTATCATCTATCATCTATCTATCTATCATTATCACTATCATATCTATCTATCAATCAATCAATCAATCATTATCTATCAATCATCTATCATCCAGCTATCTACATTATATCTATTTATCTAATCTAGCTATCTACAATCTATCATCTAGCTATCTACATTATATCTACTTATCTATCCTCTAGCTATCTACATTATATCTCTATCATCTAGCTAGCGATCATCTAGCTATCTACATTATATCTATTTATCTAATCTAGCTATCTACAATCTATCACCTAGCTATCTACAATCTATCATCTAGCTATCTACATTATATCTACTTATCTATCATCTAGCTATCTACATTATATCTATTTATCATCTAGCTATCTACGCTATATCTAGCTATCATCTAGCTATCTACATTATATCTAATTATCTAGCTATCTATCATCTATTTCTCTATCTCTATCATCTCTCCATCCATCCATCTTCTATCATTAACTAATAATTAAATATCATTAACTTGGCTTGTTGCAGTTTGCCAAGTGTGAAACCACATTTGGAATACAGGTCCTTAACTTATGACCACAACTGAGTCCACCATTTGTGTTGTTAAGCGAGAGGTTTAAGTGAGTTTCACCTCATTTTATGATCTTTCTTGCCAGTCGTTAAGTGAATCACTGCAGTTGACAAGTGAGCAACCCAGTTGTGAAGTGAATCCAGCTTCCCCATGGACTTGGCTGGCCAGGTCGCAAACGGGGATCATGTGACCTTGGGATCCAGCAACAGTGGTAAGTATGAACCAGCTGCTAATTGTCTGAATTTTGATCACACAATTATGGGGATTCTGAGCTGTGCTCGTCATGTGACTGTTGTGGTTCGCGGGCAGCCTGCGGAGACGGCAGAATTGGATAGTGGGGAAGAACAGGGACCAGTCTGGGAGTCTGGGGAGGATTCGGACAAGGGTCCTAAGTCTGATACAGAGTTGGGGCCAGAGCCATCTGGGAGTTATGTGCTGACTCCGGAGCCTCCAGACTCTGACATCAGGGAGGCAGAGGAATAACGGGAGCCTGTTCCCAGTGCGCGCATGCTCAGAGCTGCCAGAAGGCAAGAGCAGTTAAGACAAAAGGGGAGACTCGGGAGTAAGGCTTGGAGGTGATTGGCCCTCCCATAAGACAAAGTGCAAAGCTAGGAAAACCTTTGCAGAAAGCAACGTCATTCATTCCGATCAGTTTGGACTCTGAAAGCTCCGTGGTGAATTTGTGCTGTTTGGTTTTAAAAGACTCATTGGGACTTTAGTCGTTGGCAGCACTTCAAGAAAGATAAAGGTGCGTTCTTATCAGCATTCTTCCCAAGAACTTTGGCAGACATTCCTGGGACTATTTATAACTGGTTGAAACTCATTCTGGGCTGTGAATGACAATAATTCACAGCCATAGAACTAAAATAAAAGGGCTTTGGATTTTATGTGTTTTGTTGGTGTCTTAGGAAGCCTTGGTCATAACAGCAATGAAGACACCTGCTAGGTTATCTCTTTACCTGACTCAGCATATTGTGTGAACACACATAGCCTCCATTTCTCCTTCACGCACCTCTGGAAGCAAAGGCCCTCCGAGTAAATTTGCACAAAATGGAGGCCTTCCCCATTACGTATGTAAAGCATGATTCTTCCCCTGCGTGCATCTACCCCGTTATACTGATGAGGTTACGCTAAAGCAACCTTTTAATTAGAGATTAACTTGAACAGATTAACCTCTGATTAGATCTAATGAGCCAGGTTGGCTTGTAAGACTTAACTCTTGGGGGTGGGGTGGGGGGTCAGCCAGGGGATGGAAAAGGAGGGAAAAAAGGATCCCAAAACATTTTTTACAAGGGTGAGCAACCCTGCCTTGAGTTTACGGTCTTTTAAAAAAAAAAAAATAGAACTTGAAGCAAAAGGGGAGGAGCAGGAGGCAGAAAAAGGAAACACAAGCATTTTATCGGTAACTGTTTGGGTGAAACCACTTTGTTCAGTGCTTTTCAAAGGCGGCAACTCCAGGTGTGTGGAATCGGCAGGCAAGCGTAGGCAATGAGAAGCATGAGTGGCGCGTGGTGGCCCTAGTGGTGGAACTCTCGCTTCACAATCAGGAGGCTGTGGGTTCGATCCTAGGGAAAGGCAGATATTTCTCTCCGGGCACAATGAGAATATATCTAACTGGGGAAAACTCTGCCTTGGTGACAGGAAGGGCATCTGGCCAGTAAAGACTCTGCTCTATTCAGTTGCCCCGACTCCATCCCGCAAGGGATTACAGGGTCATTAGAGGACAACGTAGGCAACGAGAAGCGTGAGTTGAAACCCACAGATCTTTTAAAAGCTGCCAGATCTGGAGTTTAGCTGCTCTCTCAGCAAAGGTGATAGAATCAACCTGGCTCTCTGGCATCCTGATTCTGCAGCACAGCTGCAAAGGGAGGTGGGGTATGGGAAGAGGTCCATTGGCTGGTTGCTTTTCAGATGTGTTGAGCTCAATGCCTACTATCCTCCATCAAGGTCTACTCTGCTTGTGAATTCACACACCTGGAAGACAACAGTTGGGGAAAGGTGGGCAAGGAATGGCTTACATATACGTCCTCGGAAATGTGGACAACAGCGTCTTGAGACTCCCAACAAGTCAACTGGGCTACACCGTGGAGTGCATCCAGGCTGGAAAAAGCAGGCTTGAGAGATACTCTTTTAAGAAGCCAATCCTTGGAAAAACAATTCTTGACGCTGAGTAGGGCACGCAATATTTTTGCACAAGGCTCACTATAGGTTTACTTGAGAGCCAGTAAGATGCTGCTTTAGAAACCAGGAGATGGTGAGTTCTAGGCCTTGGGTGTGAAAGCTGGCTGGGTGACTTTGGAGCAATCCCCAGGAGATGGCGAGTTCTAGTCCTGTCCTGGGCGTGAAAGCTGTCTTGGGAACTGTGGACCAATCACCAGATTGACTTCTAGTCTAGCTGACTGGGTGACTTTGGACCAATCCCTAGGAGACTGTGAGTTCTATCTTAGGCATGAAAGCCAGCTGGGCAACTGGGCCAATCAACAAGAGACCGTGAGTTCTAGTCCTACCTAAGGCAAGAAAGCCACTGGTTGACTTTGGCCAATCTCCAGGAGACTGGGAGTTCTAGTCTCACTTTAGGCATGAAAGCCAGCTGGGCAACTGGGCCAGTCAACCAAGACACTGCAAGTTCTAGACCTGCCTGAGGCATGAAAACCAACTGGGTGACTTTGGCCTATCACCAGGAGACTGGGAGTTCTAGTCCTGAGTTCTTAGGCATGAAAATCAGCTGATGGACTTTGGGCCCATTGCCAGGATCTCCGTGAAGACTCAGATATTCCACCCAACCCTGAGGATACAGCCTGCTATGACTATGACCCTTTCTCACTGTATTTCTGGAATGTGTAATCTTGGCGTATACGCCCATGGGGTGCATAATCTTGGTTTAACTGTGATGGATGATTCCGTGTTTATTTTCAAACCCAATTTCTCGATTCGTTCCACCCTTCACCGTCTGTGGAGCGATCTGGAATAAGTAAGAGACCTTGACTCTTCAGAGAAGGTCGATGGTGGGAGCCAGAAAGTGAAGCCACACAACCTGGGCAGCGTTGGTGAAGCCAGGAGAAATAAAGCCAACGCGACACACACAACACCGGAGAGATTAAAAAATATTTGGGGAGCAACGTGTCATAAAAATGGTACAATGCTGGGAAACGCAGCCTGGGCTTTCAGTCTGGATCCGAGCTCTACTCTCTTAGTATTTACATTCGGGGAAAGGTGTGGGGGGAGAAAGGGAGAAAGTCACAGAAGGAATCAACTTGCATGCACAAAGCCAAGGCCCCCCTCCAACGATGCAACCAAAGTTTTTCTTTCTGGCTTTGGAGAAGGCCAGCCTGAAGGAGGTGAAGGTACTCCCACAAACGTGGTACCTTTGCTGACACGGTCAGCTTCACAAACACCCTCCTCAGCCTTCCTGGTGGTCTCAGTGCTGCTTTGAGCAGGGAAGGGGGATCAGCAGAGGGGGGGGGACCCAGAAAGAAGAGAAATCCACCCCCCCCCTGTGTTTGTCCATCTTTGCCTGCAAAACCAAAAATGGAAAAAAAAAACCACACCAAGCTCTGAACCTAGCTTGGGCCATAAATCAAGAAAAACCGCGAAAACTCCTTTCCGTATAAATAACGCGAAATCCAGGGCGGGTTCTGAGAGTTTCCAAACCACTTCCTGGGCATGTTCAAACGCCGTCCCTTTTTTAAAAACGCGTCCCAACGCTGTCGCTTTCTCCTCCAGTGACGTTTGGCCTCGCTGGAGGAGGGTTGGCGGAGCTTCCTCCAGGCTGCCCGTGTCGTCGGCCTTCCGCCACCGGAACACCATTAAGAACAGGTTGAAATAACGGGAAGACGAAAAAACCCTGGCAGTCTCCCGCTTTCCAGTGAAAGCGGAACCGTCGGTCCGGGTGGCGGGGCGTTCCGCGAGAGAAACACAGGGGGAAACGCAGCTGGTTGTAGACAACACTTCCAAAGGAAGGGAAGGGTGATGGTTTTGTTTCTGGCCTAATCACACCTACGGGGCACAAGCACACATCTCGCAGACGGCCGGTTGTCCTTAATACGAGGGTTTGCCGGGGTGGGGTGGGAGGAAGACGACAGTCAAGCTGCGGATCGCCGTCGGATGACAAAAGCGCCCCGCTGGAGCTGCCCAAGGTAGATCCTCATTTTTGTGCTGTCGCTGGTTTTCCTCACCCAGATCTGTCAAGGGTTGGGACACAGAGAGAGAAATTGTGACGCTGGAGAGAATTCTTTCTGTTATGGAGCAGTTTTAGAACTGGACTGGTGTTGGATACAACATTATAGAAGCTGGAAGGTCACGTGGATTCTACCTGCAATTCCACCCACCTTGGTTAAACTACAACAGTAGGATTGGAAGGGACCTCGGAGGTCTTCTAGTCCAACCCCCCTGCTCAAGTAGGAGACCCTATAGCAGCCGTGGTGGCGCAGTGGTTAGAGGCTACTTCTGCTGCCTGCAATTTGGCAGTTCGATTCTCACCAGGCTCAAGATTGACCCAGCCTTCCGCCCCTCCAAGGACAGTAAAATGAGGACCCAGATCGTTGGGGGCAACAGGCTGACTCTGTAAACCACTTAGAGAGGGCTGCAAAGGAGTATATAAGTCTAAATGCTAAATGCTATTGCAACTGCAGGCTAACTCTGCCCACTGCCAGCAGTTCGATTCTCCTTGGCTCAAGGTTGACTCAGCCTTCCATCCTTCCAAGGTGGGTAAAATGAGGACCCAGATTGTTGGGGGCAAGAGGCTGAATCTGTAAACTGCTTAGAGAGGGCTATAAAGCACTGGGAAGCGGTATATAAGTCTAAGTGCTTATTGCTACTCTGGACAAAGGGCTGTCCAGTCTCTTCTTGAAAATCTCCGCTGATGAGGCAAGCCGTCCCACTGTTTGTTCTCACTGTCAGAAAATTTCTCCCTAGTTCCAGGTTGGATCTTTCTTTAATGATCTTCCACCTATTACTTCTTGACCTGCCCTCAGGTAGTTTGGAGAAGAAGTCAATCCTCTCTTCTCTATGACAGCCCCCAGAGTACCGGAAGACTGCTGTCACTCATTAAGTTGCAGTTCAGAAGATGTATTGTTCGACACAAGAATCTAGTCAACTAAAGTTCAGCACTAAACTGGCGCTAGATAAGAATCAACAGAATTCAAGAGTAATTTAGACTTGGACCATTTGTGGCAACAAAAGGATTCCAAGCTAATGACATGCTTAACTCCGCCCTCCATCTCTGCCTGCTCTTCTACAGAAGCAGGAAAGATGATAGCTTTCAACTGAAAAGCCCATCATTATCCAGCTAGAAACCAACCACGCTCCACTTTAGCAACCCATCTAAGGGCAGGAAAGAGTCAAAGGAGCGCACGGATTTAAAAGCATTGGAGCAGTAAGGGTCTCTGTTTCTGAGCCACCGCCAGAAAAGCTAGACGAGAGTTCTGATTAAGTTTCAAAAGGAGCGTGGTGGTTAAGATCAGTAGTGTTAATCCAAAGAAATAATTGCTCGATGAAAATCTCCCTTCCTGCTCTGAAGGATCCTTCCCCGAAGCTCTTCAGAGGATGGTTGCCATGCAACTGAAGCAAGAACAATACAGTTTATCACACGCCAAAGTTATGGGGAAGGCTGCAACTCTGGAGCCCCTGGACCAAAAGGAGACATTGTCTTACCTCGTTGGCTCCCACCGAGCTGATCACACAGCTGATTTTAGTGTTCTCTTTCGATTCCAGATAAATAGCCTGGCTCTTGTGATACCTGGAAAAAGAAAAATGTGTACTGATTTATCGTAGGGCACGTTCATATCAGATTTCAGTTTTAAAAAAAGGGGGGACATGGGAGTACAATACAAAACATAGAATACAAAACCTAAAATCTTAACAGGAGGATTGGTTTCCGAACTACACACTTATACATACACTGAATCAAATTTAATTTGAACTGAGTTGCGCTCACCGTGTGAATACATCTGCTAGGTACCTCTTGACCTGACTCGGGATATTGTGTGAACACGTGGCCTCCGTTTCTCCTTCAATTGCATATCTGTGTCCCTTTTTTCCCCAGCACCTTTGTAACTTTGAATGGTCACTAAACTGTTGTAAATCAAGGACTACCTGAACTCCAGCCATGCACATTTAAAAGAAATTCGACCTGAAATAAAGCGACAATTGCTTGGCGGTTATCCTTAGCATGCAAGCCAGAACTCTCAATGGAAATTCTATATTCCTGTAACCTTTCTTTCTGATCAGTTTCTTACTTCGATGCGAAAGCCTCTTCTCGTTTCCCTTGTTTTATTCACAGCCATCTTGGCCTTTGGAAAAGGAGAAATCTACCTCTCTACTTCCTTCCTTCATGTTCTACAACCCGTGGGTCTCCATTGTGGCCCGCCAGTGGCCAGCGGAGTTGGCGGCAGGCTCAGGCAATGAGGAGGTTGGGGAGGAACATGTGCCAGTCCTGGAGTCTGGGGAAGGCACTGGCGAGGGCTCTGCATCGGAGGCAGAGATGGGGCCAACAGTTATCAGCTGCCTTCAGAGTTGGAGATCAGTGGGGCAGAAGAACAGCTGGAGCCTGTTCCCAGTGTGCGCATGCACAGAGCTGCCAGGAGAAGGGAACAGCTAAGGAACAAGGGTCGACTTGGGAGTAAAGGCTCAGGTGGACAGTGAATGGCCCCTCCCATAGGGAATAAAGAGGAGCGAAAGGGGAGTGGGGTTTTGCAGGAGACAATAAGTTCAATTCATGAGGGTGAGGATCTGTTCCTGACTTCTTGCCAAGTAATTTCTGCGACAGCGTGATATTTGGAAGCTATCAGCCTGGCAACTCTCCAAGCCTGATAAAGGTCTGTAGTTGTGAAATCTCATGAAAGACCGTTGGCCGGGACTTTGCTGGAGAGGAATTCACTTTAACCTAAATATAAGGGGTTTTCTCGGGACAAGGAGTCGGCTTCATGATTTTGAGAACCCTGGGTCAGAACACTCCCTCCCTGCTGTTCCACCCTTTCTGCTATGTACAATGTGTGTGTGTGTGTGTGTGTGTTTGTGTGTGTGTGTGGTGCAGATATATATTTATGTATGCATATAGCATGTGTGTTATATGTGTGTTTGGGTAGATATACACTTCTCTCGAGAGCAGGCAACAGAACTTCATTTTTAATGCAGGCCGGTGTGCTCGCAGTAAAAATAAAAATGACCATAAAATTATCTTCTTCCAAGGCATCATTTTTTTACCAGATCTTCTTCTCCCCAGCGGGGAGGAGAGATTAAGCGTTTCAGGTAGAGATTAAGCATCCCCTAATCACAAGCCTGGATTGTTTGACATGCGCTTCCTGTTTACGCTGCTCCACTTGGGTATCTAGGTAAAGCACAGAGAATCTCTCCCCGTTCCTGATTGCTCTTAATAGCTCAGCCTCCTGCCCAACCACGTTCAAAATGCTGCTTCCATTGTGGTTTGTGTAAATTTCCTCTCCGCTGTTTGTATTGATTGGAAACTTCACCTGCCTGCAAGAAACATAGAAGAACCTGCAACCGTACGCCCGAGGGAAGAGGGGAGGTAATGAGAGAGAGAGAGAGAGGGAGAGAGGGAGAGAGAGAAGGGAGAGAGAGAGGGGGGGCCTGTTTTACGCTTCTCCCAATTTCTGGCATTTAAAGTGAAGTATCATTGCTTTTTACCCTACCTGCCAATTATAATGGAAATGACCACGGGATTTATTAGAGCAAGGGAAAACCTTTTATGCTTTCTGATATGATCTAAAATGTTAGGCATGGGTTTTGAATGTATGAGTGTGTCAAATCCAGCAGCTTTGATTTCTGGGAGCAACTTATTTACGATAACACCCAACTGCGCTTAGCAATGGAAATTCTCTTCCCAATTGTGGCTTACCACAATTGAGGACTACCTATGTAGATATTAGTGTTGTCTTTTCGCTCCCGCACGCAATTGTCCTAAGCAAGTACTGTCTATCACACCTGACTCCATAAATGAGGGTATTATTTTCACTAAAAACCAGGTTTCACTTAACTCTTTGCACAGATTCTGGGTTCCAGCCTGAAAGCCATTATTTTTATAAGTCTAAACACCATTAAGGCGCTTTAGATATTCCACTCCTAGCCACAATCGTTTTGTTCTTTCGAGATAATGATCCTTTTACATGTTGCCTATCAAGAAAAGTGGGGGGAAAGAAATGCATTTTTGTAGCAGCCGGCAGATTCATGTTTAAAAGACATATGATAGCTGGGGAATTTTAATTTGCACGTCAAAATTGTCCACCTACACATGGGAGCTATTTTAAAAGTATCAACTTTTTGCCGAACTATTGCAATTAATTTTTTTTTTTAAAAAAAAAAAATTACAATACACATTTATCACAGTAAAAGGCGATGGCTAACTTGAGCGTAGGAAAAACTGTAAAAGGAGCACGAAAACAACCAGAAACGTTCTGAAATTAAACAAAACGTTTAGCCTAAATATAACAAATATTCTATTACATGCAGAAAAGCCCAAGCCAGTGAACACCAATGCCAGAAGGGAGTGAAGTTTGTGGAGAAGAGAAGAAAGAAGGAAGGAGGGAGGGAGGGAAGGAAGGAAGGAAAGTAGGTAGATAGGTAGTTAGGGAAGAAACCTTAGTGTTCAATGAGGTTGGTGGCTTTCTTGTAGATGTTTCATTACCCAAACTAGGTAACATCATCAATGCTAGAAGGGAGTGGGGTTTGTGGGGGGGGGAGGGAGAGGAGGAGGAGGAGAATGACTGTGGGGTCCTTGCAGACTAGATACCATCATTGGTGCCAGCCCAGTAGCACTAATGAGGTTACCTACTTTGGGTAACCGGTCATTAAACGAGGGCTGTAGATGGGATCTTTTTAAAGATATGGCAGATATGGAAAAGGGGGGGGGGAAGGGAGCCATTTTTTTTCAGAGACAATTTCTGATGGTCTCCTGCCACCTAGTGGTATAAAATGTTCATAACACAACCTTGATTTCCATTTCCTCCTGAGTTTGGCTCTATGGGGAGACTTTGGAACTACGATTCCCAGAATCCCTCTGCCAGGCTGACCTAGACAGGATAGTCCCCACTGAGCGCGAACAGCCATTACTTCTCTCCATACTTAGCTTCTGACCAGAGCAAAAACGTTGTTCTTAAACCTTGCTCTTAAAAAGGCCCTCATTCCACACACGCCCCTTACCATCGCTTATCGTAGTAAAGCTTTCCGTCTTCTATCCGTGCCTCAAATCGTTGGGCGGGGGATTCTGCTGGCGTCGTTGGAAGATGCTCGGGCGAGGAAGGAGAAGCTGGGACAGAAAAGAGGACCAGGCGATAAGCATCAGTTTAAAAGTCTACGGAGGTTGTCAGTCATCCAGGACATGGTTGTGCCAAAGATGCTTTTTCAGGAGGCAACTGGACTTTCTGGTTTTTTTTTCTTTTAAAGACGTTTCGCTTCTCATCCAAGGAGCTTCTTCGGCTCTGACTGGACGGTGAGGAAGGGAAGGATTTATGCTCCTTGCAGACAGCTGGTCATTTGCATCCTTTGAGAGGGCCGTTGAGGCCACTTGGGAGGTGTTATCTGTGTCCTCAGGATCACCTGAGTAGTGCAAAGGGTTTCCCGTAGTCTGCAATTTCCCCCCCTGGAAATCCATTCCTACTGCCACACTGTTCAAAGGGTGTTCATCCCAAATTGTATAGCTATAGATGTGGACACAGATAAAACCTCCAAGTGCTTCAACAGCCCTCCAAAAGGATGCAAATGACCAGTTGTCTGCAAGGAGTATAAATCCTTTCATTCCCCACCATACAGTCTGAGCTGAAGAAGCTTCTTGGGTGAGAATTCCATCTGTCTGGTAAACTCGCAAGATTAGTTCTTCTCGCTATGTGCATTTATACCCCCAAACTAGACTGTGGTGTTGTTTCTGTGTCATATATGTGGGTATGGGCATATTTTTACTTACTTGTTTATTGATATGTTTGTCATGCTTTTGTACTGTATATTGGAGGTGGTGACCCTTTGAGAGCTGGTATGCAATGACATTTCATTTTAAAGAATGCCAATTGGTATACGTTTAAAGTGACAATAAAGTTATTCTAATATACCAAAGGGGCAGTGGACAGATGTTGAATCTGGGGTTTTCCGTATGGCAAGAAGGGCACGAAGCTTCTTCCTTCTGTTCCAAGCCAATTAAATTAAAACAATGCCCATGGTCATATTACTCACCTGGTCTTTTAGGCGATTTAAGCTGGAAAAGAAAAGGAAAACTGTTGAAGCTACAGTCACAAAAATACAACCCAGAAATCTGAGAAATTCATTTTTAGCTGTTTTCAGTTGTACGAAGAGGGACCAGCTGAGGTTGCAATCTAGATGTGCTGGATTCCAAACCCCATCATTTCCTTGGGTGGCGTGGCTACCGGCCACATCAGCTGGGAAGGGAAAATATTCCTAGAACCCCACTTTCTAGAGATCCCCAAAACTATTAAACTACAAAAAATATTTGCAGCTTGGGGTTGAACTGTGGAGACCTGGGTGCTCTCTAAGCTTGGTTGATTTCTTGCAGATGGTTGTTTCATTACCCAACTAGGTAATAATATCAGTGCTAGAAGGGAGTGGGGAGTGTGGAATGGAGAAGGAAAAGAGGAGGACGACTGTGGGGTCCTTGGCGCTGTCTAAGTTTGGTGGTTTTCTTGCAGACATTTCATCACCCAACTAAGTAACATCATCAATGCTACCATTTTAACTTTTTACAATGGTTGGATGTGACAGCTGTAACGCTGAATAATATAGAAAATAAGGAAGAACAGCTGCCTTCAGAAGACACATGTAAAACGAGTCCTTCCTAAGGAAAAACAGGCTATTTGCACAAATCCAGAGAAAACAAAATTGGGGTGGTTAGACAGAAAACTAAAGGGTTGTTGTTTTTTTCTCCTGCTTATTCTCCTAGCCGCACTTACCTTATTGAGAGTCCTCAAATCTTCCATGATCTGCTCATCCGTTAGGAGATAATTGAGCTGAGGTAATCCACATTAAGGGTCATCCAAAACAGTCATGGAACTGCTTAGGGCAGGGGTCGGCAACCTTAAACACTCAGAGAGCCACAAAGGTCCTAACCAGAAGCCCCTCCCCCAATTCAATTCTGGAGCCAAACAGACCCGATGGCAGTTTCCCCCACCATAGAGTCTCCTCCTAGCGCGGCGTCTTTTTTCCCCTACCTGTCCGAACCTAAAGCCCTATCAATTGTGGAGCCGACCGGCAACAGGGAGCCCAGAAGAGGGATGGAAAGAGCCGTAGGTTGCCAACCGCTGCCTTAAACTATTACCCAGCCTGCTTCAATTCCTTTTGCAACCTCTGGGATTTTGACAGCCACCAGCCTCCACAGAGCTCTTCCTACAGAACCCAACTGTAGCCCCAGAGCTGGGGCGGGGCTTCGCTAGCAGCGGTGGCTCTTCCATCCCAAGGACCGGCCCATAGATTTCCACTGCTCTCCTCTCCTCTCCCTTCTGCCTTCCAGAACCGCAGGTTGCTGATCCCTGGCTTAGGGCCTTGCCAAAACAACCCAATGGTGCCCTCTCATTTTCCCATGTCATACTGAGAGGTGGGCTGGAGTTTGGATTTAGCCAATGTTGATTGAATATGAATGAACATCCCGATTTTTGGGAAAAGAGGGGAAGGATCTTTAACACTAGGAGGTCAGTTTCCCTGATTCGAGGCCATCTAAAAAAATCAGTTGGTGCTGGAAAAATAGCTTGGAAAGTACTTAAACGGGTGATCAGGTAAGAAATAAAGCAGGGGTGATCAATCTTGGCAACTTTTAAGACTGGTTTCACTTTCAGTTGTGACTTTGAACAGCTGCTAAATGAATTGTCGTTAAGTCAAGGACTACCTATGCTGGCCAGCCTTGGTTTTCGGGGCAAGGTTTCATGGTAGAAAGGATATCTGGGGCTGGTTTCCTCCTTTTGTCAGGAATGGGCACCGGATCATTTGGCCTCCTCCGCAATTTCCTGGTCATAATCGGTTTCACTTCCATGGAATCTGAAGAGAGCAACAAACCAATTGGATTATGAGATCCACAAATTTCTTTAAAGGCACAGCGGGGAAAAAACAAACCCATCTGAGTACTGAGGCATCATCATCATCATCATCTGATTTTATCAAAAACCACCCTACTTGGAACAGCTTATGTCCTCCGACACTACCTGAACAGTTCCTAGGTCCTTGGTTAGGACTCAAGCTGTTGAGCTACCAACCAGCCCCAAAGGCTGTGAATCTCACTAAAGATTTACTACTACTACTACTAGTTACTACTACTACTACTACTACTAATTATAATAATGCAAAACTACTGTGGGACTTCCAAATACAGACTGACAAAGTTTTGGAACACAACACCCCGGATATCGCGATTGTGGAGAAGAAAAAAGTGTGGATCATCGACATTGCCATACCTGGTGACGGCAGAATCGATGAGAAACAACTTGAAAAAGTCACCAGATATCAGGACTTGAGAACTGAACCGCAGAGACTCTGGCATAAAGCAGTGCAAGTGGTTCCAGTGGTACTGGGCACACTGGGTGCTGCTGTGCCTAAAGACCTAGGCAAGCAGTTGAAAATAATTGGCGCTGACAAGATCACCACTGGTCAGCTGCAGAAGGCCACCTTACTGGGATCTGCTTGCATAATCCATCGATACATCACGCAGTCCTAAACGCTTGGGAAGGGTTCGACTAGTGATTTGTGATACGAAACCCACCATAGTTATCTTGTTTGCTGTGTACACTGTCGTTTTTTGTGTCAAACAACAACAACAACAAAAACTATTTCTTTACTCCCCACTCCACCCCCACCGATATATTTTTCACATCTATAGAATGTAGAGTCAAACTCTGTTATCCCAACTCTGTTATTCAATTTCACTGAATCTCCAAACCAGGCTGACTTTCTGTTATGGCCTGTCAGCTGCCGGCCTCTCCTTCAGCCGAATAAGAGGCGGTGGCGGCAGCGTGAGAGTCAGGGACAGCATCAGGGCAACCTGAGAGCTCTGAGGGAGAAGAAGAGGGAAGGGAGCTGGCAGAGAGAGAGAGAGACAGAGACAGAGACGGAGTCTGAGCCCTCCATCAGCTCTCAGATGGAGAGTCAACAGCCCCCAGGTCTGGAGGTGGCTGATGAGGAAGGAGGAGGAGCTGGGATCAGTGCCTGATGCACAGAAGGCAGAGGAGAGGAGAGCAGTGGAAATCTATAGGCCGGTCCTTGGGACGGAAGAGCCACTGCTGCTAGAGAAGTCCCACCCTAGCTCTGGGGATAAAAGGCAGGGGGCAGGGATGAATAGTTGTGGCAGACAACTATTCATCTCCAGCTGGACAGGTTTATTAGCCTTCGAGATAAACTTTTTTACCGGGGCTGCCAGAATTCCTAATAAAGGAACCTTTTGAGTTCACGTCAGAGGTTTTGTCATGTTTGGGGAGCTGGGTCAGAACACATTCGTAAACATTGCATTGAATCTACGTATTGAGTCAAGTGCATCCAAAGCGATTTGTCTCAACGGTTTGGAAAAAGTTTTAGTCTCTGCTTTACCTCCTGTCAGTTCCATGGTGAGCTTCTCACTCTCAATCATCTTCTTCTTCTCTTCCAATTCAGCAATCAAGCTCTCCTTCAGCTCGATTTTTTTATCTTCAAACTCCTTCACTGCTGCTTTTTTCTCTTTGATGTAGTTTCGTTCCACCTGCTCTGTCTAATCCACACCCAAAAGGAAAGGAGAGCACTTTTAAGGTTAAGGTGAAACGTAGGTTGCTGTTGCGTTAGTGAATTCATTAAGCGGCTGCCTGACTCCCATCTTGGATGGGGTTCTAATAAATTGGGTCCAAAATAATGATCACAGAGTGAATGTGGATTGATGGATGGAAGAGAATGGCCAGTCTAAATGGAAATATATAAATATGGTCTGTTATTTGTTTGCCAAATAAAAACACAGAAGGAATGGAGTTAATTGGGGCAACCTGAAGTGTCAGGTTTTCAGTAAGCTTTTATAAAATTTCTATGGCAATGTAACTGGTGGAATTCTTAAGACGACGATTATTTCTTGGAGACAGTAACAGTAGCAAGGAACTAACCCGAGGCTTACTAATTACAAGTATCTCTGCTTATATCACCTAGATGTTATGTATGACTTGTATCATTTCCCCACCTTTCTGAAATGTACAACTGCAATTTTTTGTATGTAGGATGGTAGGATGGGAAGGAATTCCTCCAGTGCATACTGTTAAATAAATGCAGCAAGCAAGCCTCAATTATTGGTTTTAGGGATTTGATTTTACAGGTCCCACCACTTGGTACAAAAAGGAGTCCCTGCAGATTTTACTCTGCTGGTCGTTGGCGACTATAGTGAGCAGTGCAATGGGACAACTTGCCACAGCCAACTTGCCATGGCCAACTCGTGGCCAAGGTGGGACTAGAACTCTCAGTCTCCAGGTGATTGGCTCAAAGCCACCCACCCAGCTTTCATGCCTAATGTGGGGACTAGAATTCATGGTCTCCTGGTTATTGGGCCAAAGTCACCAGCTGGCTTTCGTGGCTAAGTCAGGACTAGAACTCATCATCTCCTGGTGATTGGCCTGGTGCCTTAATCACTAGACAAATTGGGTCTATTTTTATGTGTACCTGGGCAAAACTACCAGCCACTCACCCCACCAAAAGTACTTGAGTGTATACTAAATCATTTTTTTTTTTGTACAAGATTCATTAAAATCAGTTAACAGCAACTCTGTTTAAATTTCAGTGAATTTATTCCAAATCTGTCTAGGCTGGAATCCAATGCAGCAAACATAAATAATCCTGAAGTCCTAACAAAATAGTTTTTGTAAGATATACTTACTTCCAACTGAAGAAAAAGCTCTGGAAGGAAACAGACATGACAATTATTAGAGGGAAGATACAACCATGTTTAATTTTAGTAGAATACTGGAGTTGTTCTGGGATAGGTTTGTGGATGACAAAAGAGGATATTGTCTTTAACGCTAATATGGCAAGTGGGCTTTGAATATACTTCTTTCTGAACGAAATCCCTCAAAAGTACACAATTCACCCACACACAAATGCATGCACGCACGCACGCTTATTCATCATTTATATTGCATTTATACAATTTTGATTTATATTTATGTAGCTTGTCCATCTCATCAAAAGTCCCTTTGGGCAGCGCACAACAAAGCAGGTAAAATGTAAAACACCATAGATTTATATAAACACATTAAAAACAGACATATAAAATCACATTAAAAACTAAAGATTAAAAAAAAATTGAATATGTTGTTACAGCAATCCAAGCATTATGGCGTCTGTCTGGCAAAGCATTATTTATTAAATTTATATACTGCCCATCTTGCCACTTGAGGAGATTCAAAACAAGAATGATGGAAGTTACATGGAATTTCGGGCTGTATTTTCCAGTATATAGATAGGACCTAATTGTGAGAGCTAATTGTGAGAACTAACACAACGCTCACAACAGGCTGTTTCTTGATTTTATAAATAAATCTGATGATTAGTGATAGCTCCAGCTAATTCCAAAAGGAAACATTGAATAACTAGTTATAATAGCTTAGCGATGGAAATGTTGGGCTCAACTGTAGTGTCAGAGCGAATATCTCACTTTGTAAGGTAAGAATTCTGCCTAGGTAATTTTACACGTTAGGACGAATTTGTCACCTCAGTCCAACCTGCTCACCTGCATTGCGAATCCTCTCTTTGTATTGCTGATCCAGCTTCTTCATTCTTTTCTGATATTCTTGTAAGGTACCTATGGAATAAGAAGTCACGGCATGGAAAATTGCAACCACACACCTCCCAAAAAACAACCACCACCTTCTCCCTTTTCTCAATTTCTTGCTATAGACGCAGTTACCTGGTAATCACTGCCAGATTTGAAATAATGTCATTGATTTACTCAGGAAGGAAATTATAGGAATAGTTTGCCAAAAACATTTGCACGCTCTTGGGGTTCTGAATTATAAACTCCTACCTCTACCACTTGACACTGGTCATCTTAGCTGGAGATAATAGGTACTGAAATTAACAGAATAACAGGGACCTCGGAGTCCAATCCCTTGCTTAAGCAGGAGACCCTACATTGTTCCAAAAACCTTCAGGGATGGAGCACCCACAACTTCTGGAGACAAGTTGTTCCACTGATGGTTCTCAACGTCAGGAAGTTGCTCCTTAATTCAAGGTTGCTTCTCTCCTTAGTTTCCATCCATTGCTTCTTGGTCCTGCCTTCAGGCACTTTGGGGTATAGGTCGACCTCTTCTTTGGGGCAGCCCCTCAAATATTGGAACACTGCTATCATGTCACCCCTAGTTGCATATTTTCCTATGTCTCAGTGTTCAATACTCATTTGGCTTTCCATTGGGAATTGATGTTAAAGTTGTTGGGCGGATGTTGGGCATATGCAAGTGGGATGAGTTAAATAGTTGCAGAATCAACTGTTGGGGACTAACAAACCTTCTTGTTAGCATAGTTTCTTTTCCCATTCCAGTGTAGGCAAACTCACAAAACTAAATGGTATCGTAGTTGGCAATTTAGGAGCCTTACCTTCCTGTAGTTGCTGCAGCTGCCTTTTTAGTGATGCCAATTTATCCTGGTACATCCTGCAAAGAGAACAGGTTTTAATGTCATAAGCTGCCCACAGTTACCTGGCAGTGGGATAGGGGACAAAAAAAATTAATAATAATAATAGATGAGAAAGAATAGATGAGAAAGAACTGGAGAAGATAACAAAATACAAAGAATAGCAAATAGAAATAGAATGACTGTGGCAAAAGGAAAAGTCAAAAAGGTGGTACCCATAGTGCAATCCCAAAGCAACTGAAACATTATTGTTATTATCACTTTTTTTCTGTGAACACACTGGCACACATTAAAAAATGAAATTCTGATGCTCTCGAAAGAAAAATGGATATATAACCACACACACATGCACACACATATATGTATATGTATATCTACATACCTATCTATCCATCTATCAGTCTGTCCATCCATCTATCCATCTTGTATAATTATTGTACTTTATTCCAATCTCAGTTTAAATTGTACATTTATTCCAATTTCATTTTAATTGTATTTTATTCCAATTCCATTTTAAACGGTTTTTATCGGATTTTAGTAATAATTTGTGTTTGGAAATCTGCACTTTGATATGGCCCATGGGTTAGTCAATAAAGTAATATATGTACCTTGAATATGTGTGTGCATGTATGTGCGTGGTTATATATTTATACATATATTTATACATACACACACACACACACACATATACATAAATATATTAATCAAAGTCTATTTTGAATACATAGAAAATGAGTCTTGAGAGCTAAGAAGGCCGGGACTAGACAGTACCAAGGTGTCACAATACTCACTGTTCCTTCATTTCTACGTAATCTTCCTCATCGTGTTTTGCCAGATCAGTTTCACTGGCATCTTCCGTATCTAAGCAAAAGGATCAGCATCATGTCAGAAAAAAATCAAATAAAAATCTTTTTTTGTTCAAGTCAGTTTCTCCAGGGTGACCCTGCAGGGCAAAAGCTGCTTAAAACTGGCCTTTTAAAACCCGGTGGCTCTAGAGATGCTCTAGATCAGCAGGGGTGACTTTTAAAAGTGGCAGGGATGGGTATTGTGGTCCACCACCCAGAGTCTCCATGGTAGGGAGAGAGTAATGGGCATTGTGGTCCAGAAGCAGCAACTGCCGCGTTTGGTGCTGTGGTTGGATACCAGAAATCCACGGCAGGAAAAAGGAGGGTATTGTAGTCCAGCCACTTTAGTCAATGTATATGGGAAGAGTAATAGGTGTAGATCAGGGGTCTTCAAACTTGACAGCTTTTAAGACTTGTGGACTTCAACTCCCAGAATCCCTCCTCCTCCAGTCATGTTAGCTCAGGAATTCTGGGAGTTGAAATCCACAAGTCTTAAACTTGCCAAGTTTGAAGACCCTTGATCTGCCTGTCTATCTATCTTCTCTCTTTCTAACTATTCTACCTCTTTATCTATTCTATCTTTATTTATTCTACCTCTCTTTATCTATTCCATCCATCCATCCATCCATTCTATCTTTCTCCCCCTCTATCGATCCTATCGATCTCTCTTTCTCTCTATCCTACTTCTCTTTCTCTATCTATCTACTCCAGGGGTCTTCAAACTTGACAGCTTTTAAGACTTCACTTGTGGGCTTTAGCTCCCAGAATCCCTCCTCCTCCAGTCATGTTAGCTCAGGAATTCTGGGACTTGAAGCCCACAAGTCTTAAACTTGCTAAGTTTGGAGACCCTTGATCTATTCTATTTCTCTCTTTCTATCTATTCTACCTCTCTTTATCTATTGCCTCTATCTATTCTTTTTCTCTCTCCCCCTCTATTCTCTCTTTCTCTCGATTCTACCTCTTTGTCTGTCTGTCTGTCTGTCTGTCTGTCTGTCTGTCTGTCTGTCTGTCTGTCTGTCTATCTATCTATCTATCTATCTATCTATCTATCTATCTATCTATCTATCATCTATCTATCTATCTATCTATCTATCTATCTATCATCTATCTATCATCTATCTATCTATCCATCCATCCATCCATCCTATCTTTCTCTCTCTCTCCCCCTCTTTATTCTATCTCTCTTTCTCTCTACCTATTCTACCTCTCTTTATCTATCTACTGCAGGGGTCTTCAAACTTGACAGCTTTAAGACTTCTGGACTTCAGCTCCCAGAATTCCTCCTCCGGTCATGTCAGCCCAGGAATTCTGGGAGTTGAAGACCACAAGTCTTAAACTTGCCAAGTTTGAAGACCCCTGGTATAGATAGTCCTCGACTTACAACAGTTCATTTAATAACCGTTTGACGTTATAATGGCACTGAAAAAAAGGGACTTATGAACTTTTTTCACACTTATGCCCGTTGCAGCATCTCCACGGTCGCACGATTTACATCCGTATGCTTCGTAACTGACTCATATTTATGATGGTTGCAGCATCACACGACTCTCCTTTTGCGACCTGCCGACAAGCCAAGTCCATGGGGAAGCCAGATGATGGGTGTTGTAGTCCGGCACCTGCACTCCCTTGAGCTAGGGGCACAGCGATGGGTGCTGTGGTTGGGCCCCTGTAAACATACTACAGCCAGCAATGGGTGCTGTAGTCCAGCCACCACAGATGGGGAAGTGATGGGAGTTGCAGTTCATCCCATTGCTTTTTCCACTGATGGCAGAGCATGATGGGCGCTGGGGTCCAGCACTTGCCTCCTCCCTCCAAAGTGATGGTTAATGTGGTTCAACGACCCCCAGAGAGAGAATTATGGGTGCTGGAGTTCACTCCATATATTCTCCGTTGTCGGCAGAGCATGATGGGCGTTGGGGTCAGGCCCCAGCCAAAGGAATGGGTATGGTAATCCAGCCCACTCCCCCCCCACACCATAGGAAGCGACGGTCTAGCTAGCTCCTCCCGTCCCCCATAGTCGGCGGGGAGTGATGGGTGTTGGAGTCCGGCCCTCCATCCGCACCCCCCGCCTCCTCCTCCCCCCAGACGGACCGGCCGGGCTCACCCTCGTCGGAGTCCCGAGCGCGTCCGCTGCGCTCGCCGTCCTCCTCCTCGGCGGGGCTCTCCAGCTCCTCCTCCTCATAGCTCTCGGCGGCGGCGGCGGCGGCTGCAGCGACAGCAGCGGCGGCCCCCGGGGGCAGCGTGGAAGCCGGCGGCGGCGGCGGCAGCGGAGGCCCCGGGGGCAGCGCGGGGGAAACCAGCGCGGCGGCGCTCATGGCCCGCGAAGCCGGACGAGGCTCTTCCTCCCTCCCCTCAGCGCCGGTCCCTCCTCAGGCGGGCGGCCACAGAAGCGCGCTCCTTCCTCCGCGCAGGCGCGCCAGCTGCTTCCGGGACCGCGGGGCGTTCCTCCACCTTGTCTGGCCCGTCGCTCTTTCTGTAGACGGCTGGGCGGGGCCTCGCCCTCCAGGACGGGGTACTAGAGGTCTTCCTCTGGGTCCCTTCTTCCCTCCCTCCGTTTCTTTCTTTCTTTTTTTTCGTTCTTTTAATTCTGGAATAGAATTAAAAGAATAGAACATAATTAAAGTAGAATTAAAATAGAATAGAATTAAAGTAGAATGGAATAGAATAATAGAATAGAATTAAAGTAGAATGCAATGCAATGCAATATTTACAGGGGTCTCCAACCTTGGTAACTTTAAGACTTGTGGACTTCAACTCCCAGAATTCCTGAGCTAACATGACTGGAGGGGGAACTCTGGGAGTTGAAGTCCACAAGTCTTAAAGCGGTCAAGTTTGAAGACCCCTGCGAATAGAATATAGAGTAGAGTAAATATAGAATAGAATATAGAATACAATTGAAAGAATAGAATAGAATTAAAGTAGAATAGAATTAAAGTAGAATAGAATTAAAGTAAAATAGAATTAAAGTAGAATGGAGTAGAATGGAATATAGAATAGAGTAAATATAGAATAGAATAGAATAGAATTAAAAGAATAGAATAGAATTAAAGTAGAATAAAATT